TACAATAAACTTGTTCTTATTCTAGTTCAATCATTAGTAATAAAATTTTATTTTTTGAATGAAACATTTCCAGTTACTTTCGTTCTTAGCCTAATTTGATATGATCTAATAGATGGTAGCATACTTAATCTTTTTTAAGTTTTTAGTTTTGTGATTATTTTGCATAATATATAAAGGCTTTTTTTAGAGCGATCAATGTGCTTGCAATAAATTTTTATTAGTGAAATTTGCTTTCTTAAAAAGACTTTAGAATGTATAAACAAGTTACCTAGGCTGTTGATTTACAATAGCCAATCCAAAGAACTTCTTCTTATAAGACTTTCTTATTGACATAGTAGTAAATGATATTGATACTACTTTCATTTACTATGCTATGATCTAATCAATTCTTGAAAAATAATAGTTAATATTGGCTATTAATCATGTTGGCTTTAGCTATACAGATAAAAAAAATAATTCATGTAAGTGTTGCATCAGTAGATCGTCCCATGTAATAACATATAATGTGGCTTAGAATATTACACATCATAAACCTAATTAAATGAATATCATGTTAAGGCTAGTTTTTGATACGTTAGAAATTATAAATTTGACAAATAATGTGGCATAAAATGCATCTTAAATGCCACGTTAATTTGTATTGAATTGGCATTAAATTAGACAACCAAATCATAAATTTAAAATCCAAAGCTTTATGCACTTTAATTAAATAAATGCCATAAGCTTGACACAATTTCGTATATGTATTATCATTGATCGTGGCATTCTAATTATAGGCATTGTGGCCATCTTATAAAATTAATCGCATTCAAAAATTTTAAATATAGAAAGATTGTTGTTATTAGAGTAATTGCAAAAGGATGATTTTAAATATAAAAATATAATAGTAGTTGAAATATATAAACCTTAAAAACTTGCATTAAATAAATTTTCAATTCGAAATTGTTCTCATTGAATATATATATTCATTAGAATTCGACCTCCTATTTACCTATACTTGTGCTAAAAAATATTAATAAAATTAGAACACTTTACGTTGAATCAAAAACTTAATAAAGTAATATATGAAACTGCAAAGCTTGTAATTTTTTTCAAATAGCAGTAATATTGTGGTCGAATTTTTAACCGAAAATAAAAGTATATAGTTATAAAACTTAACAGGTAGCTTAAAACACCATAATATAGCATTGATCTGTAAAATAGCGACCTTTATAAGCCTTATAATTCAATTCTTATTTTTTTTTGATAAAGCAAGTATGTTTCCACCACCTTAATCCACATACAACAGCGCAGATGAGCTTTTTCAAAGTGCCCAAGCATTCGTGATCTCACAGGGTTATGTGTTAATAAAAAAAAGAACCTGTAAAGATAGACATAGTAAATTGAAGAATATGGAATTATGTTGTGATCATGGTGGTGTATATAACAACTCCCTAGGTTTAACTGAAGAAACACACAGTAGTCAAAGAAGCACTAGACTAATTGATTGTCTATTTGAGTTGTATGCATCCCGATGTAATAGTTTATGGCACCTAAACATCCATAACCCAGCCTATAATCATGATCATTCAAGCAATATGTCAGAACATCCAATTGCCTGAAGACTCACAAAACAACAGCTAAAAAGTGTTGCAGCAATAACTGGCACTAGCTCACGTCCTCAAGAAATCATTTCAACACTTCGTTAAAATAATGAATCAATGCTAGTTACCAACAGCGATATTTACAATGCACGCAAGAAGCTTCAGCAACAGAATTTGGCAGGCTATACACCAATTCAGGCTCTTGTAGATAAGCTTCAGAAAGAAAATTTTTTGTACAATTATGAATGCAATAACAATGAAGTGGTTACTTACCTATTTTTTGCACATAATAAGTCTGTAGCCCTTACTTGCCAATATTCATTCATGCTTCTTATGGATTGCACTTACAAAACTAATATATTTAAAATGCTCCTATTGAATGTTGTTGGTATAACTAGTTTTAATACCAGCTTCTTCTCTTACTTTGTTTTTATAAAAGGTGAAGACAAGAATAATTACATGTAGGTCTTAACATGCGTTGCTCGCTTGTTTAATGAAGTATCGAGACTCAGAGTTATCATGACTAACCGAGAGTTAGCTCTCATGAATGCTCTCAAGACCATCTTTCCTAATTCAATAAATTTGCTATATGTGTAGCATATAAGCAAAAATATCTTGAAAAATTGCAAGTCACAGTTCCCAAAAGATGATGAAGCAATGGGTGAAATGATTTTCTTAGAAAAAGGAATGATATAGTTAATTCAGAAACCGAAAATGAATTTAATACAAAATAGGAGAATTTTTGTTCCACTTATATTAACAAATCTAGTGTTATATCATATATCAGAGAAATGTGGATACCATGGAAGACATGATTTGTAAAAGCATGGATGGATAGAACTCTTCACCTTGAAACAATTGTTATTTCACGCATTGAAGGCACCTACGCAACTCTTAAAGCATACTTACAAACGTCGACTGATGACCTTTATCAGGTTTATTTATCAATTACTTTAGCTGTAACTAACCAGAAAAAAGAAATTAATTCAAGAATTGAATGGGAATGCATTAATATTCTAGTTTTTGCATACAACAATTTGTTGTATGCAAATCTTAGAGGCAAAGTTTCAATCTTTGCTCTCAAAAAAATAAATGACCAGTATCAAAAAACTACTTCACGAGAACCATTGCCACCATGTACTAGAACTTTCTCAAGAACCATGGGTTTGCTTTGCACCTATTATATTCAAAATTTTGAAGCAAACCAGAGCCTACTGCTCAATGATATCCATACACATTGGTGGATTCAAGGGCGCATTTCAGTAACACAAATTGAAGAAGGTAATTCTTATAATGAAGACTTACTCCAGCCTCTTTTACAGAACCTAGAACAAAAATATCATGAATGGCTCGAACATCAGCAAGTGGTAGCCAGAAATGCATTAAATGACATGATAGATAGTCCATTAGTATCTTTACAAAACCCCCACGTAGTTCGTACCAAGGGACATCCTTTTGGTGCTCCAAATCGACAACCAGCCAATACAACAAGACGGGATTCTTCTGGATTTGAGTTTGTTGACTATAAAGCAAGACAATGTAGTATTTGTAAACAATTGGATCACAATGCTTGTACTTGTCCAAATTGAAATACAGAATAATACATTTAGTCATAATTCGCTTTATGTATCCAATTTTGTAAAAAAGTAATAATACTTAGCTTTAAAATAAAATTCATATTCCTGTTAGATAATAGTAGTGGCATTTAAAGTATTAGCTATTTGGCTATTTTGTATTTGAAGCGATTTGCTTAAATGGATGTAGCATTCAAAAATAAAACTCATCTAAAATTTACCAGTGGTTTCACAATTTCAATAGTATGTTCTGATTTCAACGGTAAGTGGCTTGTAATTTTATAGTAGATGAATTTCTAGTTTCAACAATAGACGAAATTCATGAATTAGTATTGAACAGTAGTGATTTTAACCATTGGTAGATCATATATAAAATCAAATCTGATAGTTTTTTTTAATTGGTTTTTTGCTAGATCTTAAGTGAAGGGAGTAAAACACTAATGACACAATATAATACAAAAGGTTTAAAGTATTTACGTTCCATTCATCATTGCCCTTTGATCTTGAGAATTTCAAAAATTTAAACTAAAATTCACTCTATTTCAATATATATAATTATTTAATGCAATCACATGATATGTGCAACAGAGTTGACCAATCACGGCTAGAATATATCACATGATCACATGATAATCGGAAATTGCCATCATGGGAGGCACGAATATCAAATGTGAGGAGTACGAATACCAGTCTCCTAAAATAAAATACATACTGCAGCAATAATATATATCATAAATTTCAGAAAGCTATCATAGTGAGTGTTTTAAAAGAGAGATGATAGAAAAAAAATAAAAAAGGCAAAGATTGGAAAGATTTTCTTAACTTGCTGTATGATACATATTGGTCC